AGGCTATCAGTTATCTCCAGGCAACCTGGGATAGTTGCCACTCCAGACAAAAGAACGTCCGTGCTAGCTGTGTTGCTTGCCCGTCTGGTCGTCGCTCGGCTAGCTCGCTAGCTATCTACTTTCGCACTACTATCGTCCTGGTGGAGTTCCGGGGATGGTGGTGGGATATAGGAGCTAGTGCACCTGACCGTCCTGTGATTAGCTCGTACAATGACAAAGAATCAGAGCTCATGTGGCCCAGGCCGTGGTTGCCGTGCTGGTCGCTGCCACTGAAAGAAAGACAACGAGGCGATGTGTAAGCCCTTTGTCGGTCGATCACAAGGCGATGCTGTCACGATGGCATGGCCTTCTGCTTGACTCTGTCTGTCTGACTTGCCAGCTGTGCTTCAGCTCTTATAGCATCATCGACTACACATCACTTAGAGAGTTTCTTGCAGCCGTGGTCGTGTCAGGGAGCAACAAGCCTTGGGACTGAACAAAGCCATTGCACGGCAGCATCAGCGTATCATCATACCTATAATATACATGAGAACTTCACTTGAGACTAGACTTTAGACATGGAGCAGATGGAGCTCCTTTCGGAGTCTGAGTCCATGTCGGTCGACCTCCAGATATGTTCAGGCAGCGAAAGCTTGAAGAGCTGGTCGCCGGATGAGAGTGGGTCGGAGTCTCTTCCGGCGTCAGATATGCCAGATATTGACGTGGACCAGGCAAATGCGACGCCGGTCGCAAATTTTGGCAGCGGCATGGCAGGTGCCAAGCAGTGGCCTGAGATCACGATGATTGCTTTAAGTCGTATTTTGTCGGTCAAGCAACTTCAAGGCATGGCTGTTGTGAAACCCATCGATTAAGAACCGTTTATTAATTATTCTTGCAATCGTCATAATGCTAATAAGTTATCATTATCAGAGCAATAGTAATAATAATCGTTATCAGTTTCTGAGCACCCTGACCAGGTTCCATGCTGGCTGGCCCAATCCGTGTCAGTACACATTTCTCAGGTGTTGGATGTGCTGAGCAGGCGGTCGAGCGTGTGCACAAGGCCTTCCAAGAACTTCTTCTGTGTAAGTTCACCACGCGGGCGGTCGCCAAGAGATCGACTCTGCAGTTCGTGTCTGCGTGTGACGTATCACGGGCCTGCCAGAATCTTTTGATGGGTCGGTCGGAGCATGTCTTTGGAGATATCAGGGATGCCTTTCCGACTCTGGAAATGCTAGGTCCTGACCGGCCGGTCGCAGAGCGGTGGGCACTGGCCAAGAGAGCAGCCGCCAACGTCCCAAGAATATGTCGGTGTCATGTTGCATGCCGGCCACCACCCGTGACGGTCGACATCAGCGGTAGCCCATGCCAGCCATGGTCGAGAGCTGGACAGAAGAGGCGCTGGACCGACGGTCGGTCTGACCTTCTCCTGCTATGGGCAGCCCTTATGTTGAAGCAGGAGCCGCCGGTCATACTGCACGAAAACGTGTCTGGCTTTCCCACGTCGGTCCTGGAGGATCTCATGCAGGAAAAGTATGTCATTCATCACTTGCGGGTCGAGCCACACCATGTGGGCTTCACCTGTGTGAATCGACCACGGGTATATTCCGTGCTAGTACATCGGTCGAGAGCGTCGGTTGCCGATATCCCGACGGTCTACCATTTCGTGACAAGCTTCTTCAATTCCGTCGGTGGTGGACTGTCCATCAGAGATTGTTACATAGGGTCGGTCGAGGAGACTCTAGAAGAGGAGAACTTCTGTCGCAGAGCAAAGGGTTTAGACATGGTGCAGACGCCAAGCCGGTCGTGGGAATGTCTGCTGACTGAGCAGCAGCAGAAATACTTGGCAAAGTACCGTGAAACTTGGCAGCAGTGCAGGTCTGACAAAGAGCAGGAGCCGGTCTTTGATCTCAGCCAAAACCCTGCACGTTTCCTTAAGATGACTACAAAAGATGGTCGCTTGCCAACTTTCCGCACGAATACGAAAATTTGGGTGGATGGTTTGAGCCGATGGCTTCTGCCGGTCGAAATGGCAGCAGCAATGGCAATGAACTATGGGGTCCTGGGGCAGCCCAACCGACAGCAGGTCGGCAACGGAATGCATGTGGCCAACTGTGGAGTAATGTTGGCGGTCGCCTTGGCCTGTACGCGTTGAAGAACAGTGCGGTTAAAAAAAATGCAGTGTGGTGCAATGCCCAATATCTGATTGGCACACTTGCTCCATGATTCATCCTGTGCCACGTCGGTCGTGCCTATTTTCAGTCAATCTTAATTAATGTCGTTTGCTCATTGCCAGGCAGACGTGGTGAGCCCTCCTCTGAGAGCAGGTCGACCAGGTGGATGACATGGTACGACCATGCCGTCCAAATGGTCCGTGGCTGCTGGTTGGAAGACCAGACACAGTGCCGGTCCTTCAGCTTCGCTGAATCTTCACTTTGCGTGCCTCCTGAGTGTACAAAGGAGTTCTGGAGCCGTGGGGCAGCTCGAATGCGAATCCCTCTGAGAGGTGTTCGCATTGGAGCTGCCCCACGGTTCCCAAGCAGCTCAACGAGAAGGCTCTGTAGCCTACAGAGCCTTCTCGTTGAACTGCTTGACCGAGCATGTTCGACATGCTGATGTCAAGGTCATGTCATTGAAAAAGTTGAGTTCATGTTATAGGCGTTGTTTTCACACAGCCGGTCCATCATGTGGCTGGACGATTGGGCCAATCGTCTCAACCACAAGCCGATGGACCGGCCGCCAGGTTCGGAGATGGCCTTGACAACGGTCGTAGACATTGAAGCACTGGGGTGACCACATCGCTTGCCGGTCGACTTCCGTCCCGGTGCATTCCTGAGCTCGCCGGTCGACTTCGGTCTCGGCGCTCAGCTTGCCGTGGCCTTATGGTGGAGCGCAAACGAAACAGTATTTTAAGTTCATGTTAGGCATTGTTTTCACTCAGCCGGTCCATCATGTGGCCTTGACGGCGTCAGTGCAGCCCAGAAGAAAAAAGAGCTCGAGGCTCGAGCTCTTTTTTCTTCTGGGCTGCACCCCGAGCTAGGAACTCGATTGTGCAGAATCAGGCGGTCGACTGCTCAAACCGTGGAAGTCGATTGTGCAGAATCAGGCGGTCGACTGCTCAAACCGTGGAAGTCGATTGTGCGGAAAAAGGCGGTCGACTGCTCAAACCGTGGAAGTCGATTGTGCGGAAAAAGGCGGTCGACTTCTCAAACCGTCTAAGTCACGACCCTGTTTTTTGGTTTATGCCAAAGTCGTACAGCTCAACCCTGATTCATGGTGAAGAACCACAGGGGGACAAGAACACGGATGTGCCAGACTGGACAGGAGCAGACAGCGACTCGGAAGCGGGGGAGGCCTGGAGAGGCAACACTGCAGTCCCTCGAACACCAGAGCTACCAGCCACAGACGACGAAATACAGATGGGGGGAGCCAGACGGCCGCAGTGGCCAGAGGACGACGCCGTCGACGCCGCCTTCGGTGACCTCACTCACGGAGAACGAGCTCCGGTCAGCATGGAATATGCCAGCGCAGCGGGCAACCACAAAGACGGGGGAAGACGATGACGATACAGACAAACCGCTGCTCAATGATGCAGAGTTTCTTAAGAGGGTGCTCCGAGACCTTGACGAGGAGGCGGGGGAGGTGACTGTCGAGACCGAAGTTTTCGACTACGACAGTGCAGACCTCGACGCGTACACGGCCGGCAAGCAAGGGGCAAGGGGGAGACAGCCAAAGGTGGTGAAGATTGCCAATGAGAGTACCTCACACCAGGCTAGAGAGCTGAAGGTGAAGCTCCCACGCAAAGAAGGAAGCAAGTCAGCGACGAGCCAGTCCAATCCGGCGGGGGAACAGACACCTTCAGCGCCCTCGCTCTCTCAACAGTTTTTGCGGCTCGCACGCAGAGAGGACAAAGCAGAGACGGGGGGAGGGCGCATAGCCCCACCGACGCCCAGAGTTCACCCAGCTGGGGGGAAACCAGACAAGCCGCCGCTGCAGAGAAGACCGCGGAAACCTGAACGTTGAGTGAGTGCATAGCCAGTGAGTGCCAGGGAAAGCTGCCGGGGGAAAGGCCTCAATTCTTGATGCATGGTATCTTGCTTGCATGCGGTTTTCGTTTGTTGCAGTGTTACTGTGCAATAGTGCCGGCACCTCGAGCAGCATAGCAGCAGTACCTGTCTGTTTCTCCGCCCAGTGCAAGCGACCTCCTTCTTTCCGGGGATGTGGGGCGCAAGAGCGTGATATACAGTGTGAAGTTCTCTTTCATGCCGGTGCCGTGGGGGAGTACTACCTGTTTTTCCCTAATGGGAAGTCGGGTGCTCAGCAAAGAGTTGGGGCCTCAAACAAAGCCGGAGTACAGATGAGGCGCGTTGGGGGAATTCGTGCTTAGTGTTAAGGGGGGATATCACGGTTTGAAGAACGATGACCTCAACCGGCAAAAGGTTTCACGTGACAGACCGCGGACCCGGTGCGCACGCGTGCGCGGGGGGAGTTCTCTCCCTTTTGTCGGAGTGCAAGCAAGAGAGAGAGATCACGTCGACCCCTCAGGCTGAGTGGAAGAAGCAGAGACGACGCTGGTTTATATAGTTTCCATTCGCTACAAGCTGTAAGTAAACCGCACACGACTTGAAATAGAGGCGAAGAATAAGCACGTGAGCTCCGGCAGAGCTCAAAAAAGCTTGGAACTGCAATGCTTACGGATACAGCATAAGCAGAGCCCAAACCGACACACAGATGGGATGTCTTTCAACAAGCACGCGAAAGAAAAGGGGCTTGTTGACATACATGACGCGTTCTTGAAATGCCCGAACGGATCCGACCCCTTCCACATCTTCCACTCAGCAATCCCGGCCCATGTGGTTCGGCTCCGCCAACACCCGCAAAACTCGGCACAGCCAATCCCAATTTCGGTGAAATGAAGTAGTGAAAGGCCATGGATGCCATGGTTAAAGCAAGAAGTCGTTTCAAAGAGAGTAGGCGCAATGCCAGAGACTTTGACAACCAGCGGAGCACCGCGCTGTAAGGTCTTTGAGACGACAATGGAAGTCTGGAACTCGGCGGATGGCTTTCAATGCTTCAGCTTTCTTCTGCACGCCGTTGCAGTTGCCGAACTTGGCCTGTGACTGTCACTGTCCGGCATAATGTCAGAGCCACAGGTCATGCCTTTCCTGCGAGCTACGGCATCAGGGTGCGATGCGAGCCTATGCACGTACTGCGTGCGTAGCCTTTAACTGTGACAGGACAGAGCTCATACCTGCGATGCTCCTGGTAGAAGCACCGCCCGGGCAGATGCCTCGTCGCACCGATTTTGCTTTGGCCATCGCTGAACCGTCTTCCCGAGGTTCACCTACATTTGCCCGCTGTCGCCGACTGTGTACATGCCGACATACTCTATCTCGCTGCCGAGCGACGTGACGTGCAACGTGGATCACAACACCTTGGCCAACCGAAACAAGCAGCTTGGTCCGATATGGCGTTTGCCGCACCACTCTGTGCAACTCTGCTTGGCGAGGCTTTTCCTGGAGCTCCCTTCCGGTGTGCAGGTGACGAGCTGTCAGCCCGAACTTGTAGCCGTGCCAATTGGAGCAGCACCAAGGGAGATACCAGATATGCCTTCACGATCGACGTTGTGAATGCGAGGTCGGAGTCAGCTCAGTTATGTTTGCTCTTTGACGGTGGGATGTTCGGACCTGGAGGTTCATTGACCCTCTGCGAAACTTTTTCCGTTTGGCCACGATGCTTGATGGCGAGGCGCGAGAGCACTAAACTAGCGCGGGAAGCCAGCACATGTGAAAATGGTTCAGCGTTGCCACATGCTGACAACGGTTTCCTGGTGTCCGCACAAAGCCGATCCGGCTCCCATGCGCCAAGTGAGTGAGAGCAAAAGCCATGCGGGCCTACCCGTGAGCCACGCCGCTGATGCTTTCAAGGGATACCCGGCATTATTGTTTCAGGGAGGGGCGGGGGCTACAGAGGTTGCCGGGGCATTCGGCAACATTTCGGCGGCCGAGCAGGTTTCCAGAGACACGTCTCCCCACGCTCCCGTGCAGCATCTCACACTTTCCAATCCTCGTGTCGTATCAAAAGGGCATGTGGGATATTGTTAGAGGATCCTGTGAACCCACACGAAGCTGTTAAGGGCTCTCTCCATCGCATTAATGTTTGCACCAGGGCTTTGGGGGTTCGAGGTTCATGCAGTGTTAATCGGATTGTTCGGATGTACTGTCTTGGACCACAAGCCCCGATTCCGGACCCACGTAGTGGTACCAAGGTCGGGGACGTAAGTAGGCATATTACTGAGATGAACGCAGAAATATCATCGGTAGCATTTCCATGTCCAAACCCCCCTTTGAGCCGATGCCATCCCGACATGTTGCCCAAGTGTCTTCAACGTACACATGGCTCACATGCTAAAGCAATGTAATCCGCAAGCGTGTTGCACCCAAGCCTATCGCTTCAAAAGAAGCGTGTTGCACACTCAGGCCACCACACTTGCGGCGCTTATCCTGTGCGCCAGCCGTGTCCACGCAAGGACCTGCTCCAGCCTGCAGCAATACGAGCCTCGGACTACCGGAGATCAAGAACTGCTTGAAGCCTAGTGGATAGACTTCCGATGTCCGTCCGCACAACCAGGAGTTCAGCGTCCTTTCAGCTCAGGTCGATTGGGCTCTCGTGTGGACATCAAACTGCCAGCCTAGTGGAGTCGTGGATACGAACTTCTCTTGGTTTGACACATGCACGTGGATTGATTGCGACTGTCTTTGGGGTGCCTTGTCTGCGCCAGTGGCCACGGACGAGCTGGCACCCTGTCTGGAGGAATCTGTTGCCAAGCAGCTGCTGGGTCAAGAGCCTCAGCATTGCAAAGCAGCGTTTTTGATAATCAAACCATTCACCAGCTGCTGTTGTGCAGTGGGCCCGGGTTTTCAATAATCCAGTCCCCATCGGTTTGCTTTTGACAGCTAGGACCACAGGGGAAAAAATCAGACGATGCACGTGGTGAGGGATACTGTATGGCCAGCAGTCACTTCCTGAACCTTCAGGGTTTGAATGCCTGATGATCATGTCGCCGGAGGCAATACAGTGTGGGCAGCTGTACTTTTGCGTGCGGTTGTGTGCCCTTGAAGTGACTATGATTTGTCAACCCCGATCCAAATGCTTGGCTTGCCCAAGGAGACGAAATGGTTCCTGACATCGCTATTCAGAACTTGCAGGGAGCAGACCGACGAGTTGTCCAAGCCATGCGGCAAGTGCGACAAGTATAGAGACTTCAACCAATGCGGAGCACTTGAATGAATTTCAAAAGTGGATACAATGGTTGCGGACAGCTGTGTGGACGATGCCCGCAGCTTACTCGTTCCACGCAGTTGGTCATGTCGTTTCACTCGCCCACATGATGTGGGAAGCAAGTCTCACCGTAGCCTGCATGCTCACAAGCACCCGGTGGCCAGAACCTGCAATGAGCATGACTTGGTGGCATATTTCACGAATGTTGCCGTATCACAGCGGCACACTCCTGGCAATGCCCATCAGCGCGTTGCTTCCTGCATTTCGTGCGTCAGGTCGTCGAAGAAGGACAGGCAGCCGGCTTTCAGACAGAATCCCAGGTATCACATGAAGAAAATCTAGTGAATGGTGGTGCCTTTCAGTCATCCCACACAGTTTCATAATTCTCAAGGCTCGCCCAGAGGATGGACAACACACGCTACATGCAGTTTGAAGTTCGAGAGGACTGCTTCTTTGTACTGGCGGTGTGGCCTTCTAAGCGTACCTCCCTCTGTGAGGATCGCGTGGTCGAAGCAACATCAAATGCCGCCGGCTTGAGAGATGGTAGACATCGCTAGCTTAACCATGGACGAAAGCTTCGTCTAGAGTGACAGAGCGGGCTCGCAAGGTGGTCTCGTTTGTGATTGGCACAACCCTCGCTGTCACGGAACCTTCCGTGCCCTGGCATATTCTTGATCTTCGGCGCAGTCGCTCTTGCCAGCAACTGCTGCCTGACACAATCCCTGTTGAATCACATTGCAAGCCCCGAGGTTCTGGAGGTACGTGCTCCCGTCGCGGTCTTAGGTCTTTATAGGATCAAGTTCTTACTGACTTCCGGGTTAAGTTAGCCAAAATGCCATGACGTCACGTTGATCTGTGCTGAGATCGGGTTCATTTTCGCAGATGCCTGCGATGGCTTGGCTCGCCTGCCCAGTTCACGACATCTAAGAGGGTAGCATCGCAAAAAGAAGGCTTCTAGCAAGTACAAATCCAGGCAGTCTGTCAATTTGTCGAAGCACCTTGAGGTCGGCTGGGCCACGTGGATACCTTTGATGCGCATCGGGCCACAAATGGATTTGTGTCCGGCCTTCAGCTGCAAGATGCCGTTTGTGCGAGTTGGAATGAATTTGCGAGAGGCCAGGGAATGGGTGCAGCAGATGCCAGCATGCAGCACATTGCAAGAGTTACGATCGACAAGCCCTCAGCCACTCCTGCGAACCCTGGCTAGTCACCAGTGCATTCGGTCTTGCAAGCTTTGAATGGCTGAGTCGGGCTCGTGGGAACTTGGAGACTATGGACTTTTTGCAACGGCCGGACTCTGACACAAGAACCCACTCACCGTTCCTATTTGCACTGCCCATGTTGGGATGAGGTGCAGAATCCCATGTTTACCCCAGCGCGGAACTTTTGGGGCTTCACGCGATCTGCTCAGTTACTCCAAGCATGTCTTCAATATTGGAGATTCGCTGCAACTTCTCCAGGCTTCCCATGCAAGTTTTCGCTTTTTGAGTCACACCTCGAGGATCTATGACAGCAACATGCTGCCCCTCATGTCGGAGTCCTGGGTGCTCCCCTCAGGTAGTGGACAAGCTGCGACGACTATAAATAGACCGTAAACTATCAGGGTTGTTCGAGTTGTCTTCGAGGTGTTTGGCTTCCAGATCCAGGTGGTGCAGCTTTCCTAGAAATCCGGCTCAACCTGAAAAGCACGGCCTTGCCGAGCACCACCCATAATGTCAGGTTGGACCCAAGGCTAAAAGCTTACAACCAAGGCAACGGCACCAGCCTCAGTCGAAACTTCCTCACCTCCCAGTACCTTCGAGGGTTGCCTCTTCGAGGTGTTGACGGCGAGGCTGCCATCAATTACGTGGACATCAGTTTCATGCTGAGCACCAGGCGGATATGCTGTCAAGTCCGATTTGCAGCGGGTATTGCCTTTCGACAAGTTTGCACGGTAAACGCGTGGTAGCAATATCCAAGTGATTGTGGCCCAAGTTACAGCACCCTTGCGAACTACCAGTCCGTCTCCTTGGTACAGGATTCCACCGGAACCCAGCCGCGCACATTCGATAGCAGTTCCCTGAGCACACCGGAAGAGGTCGAGCATTTCCTACATGCGGAACACTCGCTGTGGCATTTTGAGGTTGTGACGGCTCCGACTGGCTTCTTCTTTCCCAGCATCTGCCGGGCTCCAAGCAAACGCATCTCCTTGCATGGGCCACACCCCAGCACGACACAGACCCTAACCATGCAGGCGACACAACTCGCGCCTCTTGTGCCAACACACTTCACGCGGCATGTTCTGTTTGCATCCTGCATTGCCGAGTCTTGATTGGTTTTGCACTTCCTCAGCGGCTCGGATTTGCTACTGCGCAGATGGCCCGCGGGTTGATGCACCCTCACCCTATTTACTTTCGGAAGGGCACTGCTCGGCCAACATGCCCCTCAACACAGGCTGCAACTTGTACCTCCAGCGACCCCACCATCCTGCAACCGGGTGCGCGCATGAATGGTTTCTGAAGGGCAAAGGCGCCGCTGCTCTCAACTGCGAAAACACAAGCTCCCCGCGTGGTCCAACTCTAGAAGAAGGAAGTGTTGTGTATTTGTCGGATTTTTCCGTGCTTAGTGACCTCCCTCATTCCAGGGACGAATGCCAGGCAGGCTCGTCGGCACCCTTGCACTGTCATGCTGGCAAAAATGCCTCTTTACACAAACGACATTATTACATTGTTCTTCTTGCATGTCGATTTAACTTTGCAGATTCACCGTGACCACTTGAGGTCAGAGCTTCACGATCGACACATTTACGCCACATCCTGGGCTTGTCAAGCAGCTTCCCACAGTTGGCAAGTTCCAGTTGTATTCTCTTGCCATACCGGGTCACCGGCTTGCAGGACGGGCTTCATTGGATTGCCGAAAGGATCTGGCTGTGAGGGAAATAATGGCAACGTCCTACAGCCGATTCCTCAGCTCCCAGCATCTCCCAGCCTAACAGCTGACAGCGCCTGCTTCGAGGGTGACTGTCCCCTTCATGCGGGAGCTTCGGCGGCGGACTCAAACCGATCTCTGCAAACTGAACTCACAACAAGTCTGGTTGCAATTTCTGATGCCGTGCAAGGAACGAGACCTACTACATGTTCAGGGCTCTGGTGGTGAACCCCCGGGAGACTTTCTTGAACGTAGATTCACCAGCAACTCTGCTGAATGGCATTCACTGGCCTCTGCTTGCCTCTTTTGTTCGTCGTGTGCTATTGCTTTCCTGTGTGTGGGAACACAGTTCACAGGGGTCATGTTGCGACGAGTGCATGCGCTGGCCAGCGAACAGCAAATTCTTGTGCATGTCCTTTCTACAAACATACCTGCTACCGAAAATCGTTCACTACACTAACAGATCCAGCATTAGTACACCGTTTGCATCGTTGTGGATTCGGGTTTGCGTGTGGGTGGGGGTGGGGGTGAGGATGTGTGTGTGTGTGTGTGTGTGTGTGTCTGTGTGTGTGTGTGTGTGTCTGTGTGTGTGTGTATCTGTCTGTGTGTGTGTCTGTGTGTGTGTGTGTGTGTGTGTCTCTGTGTGTGTGTGTGTGTCTGTGTGTGTGTCTGTGTGTGTGTGTGTGTCTGTGTGTGTGTGTGTCTGTGTGTGTGTCTGTGTGTGTGTGTCTGTGTGTGTGTGTGTGTGTCTGTGTGTGTGTGTGTCTGTGTGTGTGTGTGTCTGTGTGTGTGTGTGTGTCTGTGTGTGTGCCTGTGTGTGTGTGTGTGTGTCTGTGTGTGTGTCTGTGTGTGTGTGTGTGTCTGTGTGTGTGTGTGTCTGCGTGTGTGTGTGTGTCTGTGTGTGTGTGTGTCTGTGTGTGTGTGTGTGTGTCTCTCTGTGTGTCTGTGTGTGTGTGTGGACCTCTGTTGCCAAGAGGAACCGTTTTTTGCAGCACTCTGGACAGTCGCGCTGAATTGATGGAAATAGCAGGGGGCAGAGGGTCTCATTTCACGGCCTCTGCCAATGAAGCTCCGTGATATTGAGACAGGTAAACGTACCTGCAGTGGTCGGCATGGGCACATTTGTGCAGCTTGTGACCACACAACTGTTGATTGCGAGTAGGAGTGCAGTGCAGTTTCATGTGCATGTCTGGGAGAGTTTGCCTTGTACAGTCCAAAAGTCAGAGATCAAGTGAAGATGAGCCTTGAGGCCAGACAGGTACCGGACCCCCTGAAAGCTTCATGCTTTCGAGATACATCAAGCGGTGCTTGATAACCAGATTGACTAGTGGCTGCGCGATGGATGTCTAAGTGTGTCCCAGGTAGTTACAAGCTGGTCTTGTATTCGTTTACGCGCTACCTGCGACGGGGTCTGCCCGTGCGAGTACCTGCCAGAGTTGATTTGTTAAAGGCAGGGATAAGTGTTTTTGGGCCCGTCGTGGTCCTCACAAGTCCGACTGGATTTGCTGCTCTGATGGTGCCGACATCCGGTTACTTCAGTCGGGATGTTATCTTTGTTCCTGACTTCATGTCAGGTTTGATGCCAGGTTTCATTGCAGGTCGAGATTTTTTGCAGATCCGATGGAACCAACGGCTTTTCTATCCGCAGACCACGATTTCAGCTTCGAGACACAAGCCCGTAGGAATCTCTTCCGATCATGTCTTGGACCCGTGAACAAGATTGGGCCAAATCGTCCTGGGCTAGTTCGTCTTGGGAAAAGAAAGGATCGTCGGGTTGGAACAACCGTGACTGGCAAAAATCTCCTCAATATTCCGTTCCCAGCACCAATGTTGCTATCCCATCGTCTTTTACCAGTGACTGGGAGTGCTATGACACGAATGCTATTTCGGGCAAGAGATTTTTTCGCAACATCCAATCCACACCCTGGTCTAACAAAGCTGGACTGGCTGGAAAAGATGTGGCAGATCTACGTGTTTCAGACCTGACGCGGAAAGGTCTCGATGACTTCAGTCTCCGATGTTTGTCCAACGGAGAATTTCAGAGCCTGGTGTTCGTGAGGTCGATTTCTGAAGCAGTTTTTGTGTCAAACTTGCTTCGTCACATCCGGCAAGATCGCATCGATCTTGATGCCGTGGCAGCAAATATGCACGGCCCGGCTCCGCCAGACAAGCATAAAGAGTCAGCCAGATTTATGCAACCACTGCTTGGCGAAATTGTTTCAACAATCAAAGCCAATTCGCCTCCTCCGGCGGACTCCAGCCAGCAATCGCCTGAGAGTGAACAGCTTGCTCGTGCGAAGCGCAAGCTGAAAGAAGCAGGAATTGCTCTTACTCCGGAGAAGAAGCAGGCAAAAACCAGCCCGCTTCCCACCAATTCACCCTCACCTTCAGCTGAGCAGATTTTGAAAGCGGAACTCAAGAATCCGCCGAACTCTGTTCCGAGTTCCAGCTCACCTGATGTCGTGGAGAAATGGCTCAAGAAGCATCAGAGCCAGTTTCGTGGTCAAGCTGCAGCCTTTAAAAAACATGTGGCTGATGTTTGCTCTGTGCTGAAAGATTCAGCCACTGATCGGCAAAGCGTGGCAGACCTTGCCGTCAAGTACGGCTTGAAGAAAAGCCATGCAAGCAAGATGTCCTTCACCAATTTGTCTTCATTTATTGGTGCATGTCAGTTTGAATCAGCTTGACTAGCTACCCAAGCAAAAACGGTGCAACACCAGCCGATTCAGGTCCGTAAGAGACTTGCGTCAGCAGTGTGCACGCTTGGCACAGCAGCAGCCTTCATGTTGGAGTTTGGCGATGGAATACCCAAGGCTCCACTAATTTGGGTGCATACGCTGATGTCGTTGGTGTTGTTGTTTTATCTCAACGCACCCAGCCGGGAAGATTCGCACAGATCCAAACTCGTTCGGAAGTTGCAGCAGTTCGGAGTGGATCCAGATACTCTGCACTATTCTCTGTTTGAGAAGCCGAACACTGTGTATTGCATTTTTCAAGTTGATTTCGACATGGGTCGATTTCGTTCGGGCTACCGTCAGCCCTCTTCACTTCTGTATGTGGGAAGCACTGCTGTCGGTGCAGCCAAGCGACATTTGAACCGCATGGCAGTATACAGAAGACTTCAAAGAACTCAGTTTGTGGATGCTGAATTATCCCTGAGGCATTGGGCGTCCCATCTGAACCTCTTTCAGTTTGTACTTGTCCCGCTGGAATGCTATGAGAGCTACCAGCAAGCTTGGACCGCTGAGCACGAACTCATCGCTCAATGGCAGGCACCTTTGAATTATCCTAGAGCAATGTCTCTCATCAAGAAGACAGCTCTTGGTTTTCGGATTTCTTCCCAACGCCGAGCGTCATTGTATGGCACCTTCGGCCTCCGACTTTGGCGCAAACTGCGAAAGCGCATGTTTGGTCGCAGTTCGAAATTTTTCATTCAAGATTCTCGGGAACTAGCCTGGGGGCTTCTGTTCAAGCTTGGATCAAGAACCCGAGCAGCCTTTGAAACAACTAAACTGCTCCGATCCAATAAGACGGCTGACGAGGAAGTGTATGCCCTCATCAAGCTCAGTCGCAACATTGAAAACCCTCATCGCAACAGGGTGCAAGGACTACTCAAAGGTGTAGTCAAATTTCGGAAAAAGATGCACTGGCCACGCACCTCCCGATCTTTGGGAGTCCTGCCAACGGCGTCTTCTTCGTTTTCCAAGGAGTGCGAGAAGTGGTTAAAAGACCTCATCCTGCGTTACAAGTATCTTTTTCCATCTTTTCATGTTCCAAAGAAAAGCCTACGTGAAGTTCCGCACCAGAGTATCAGGAAATTTCTCCATAATTTCCGATCTTGGGAAGAAGCGATGTGGGAACACGACTTCAAGTTGGAGTCGGTTCACTGTCCGTGTAATCAGTTTGCAGGAAAACTTCCTGCTCATTGCTTTGTGTCTGGCCATGTAGCCACGGGTTTGGAGAACCTGACCAAGCTACTGCCAGACTGCAAGAGCATCTTATCGGCCAGTGCCGCGAGCACCTTTTTCCCCGGCCGCAATCACTGGATGGCCAAGTCCAGAGCTCTGTTTGATCAGTGGCTCAAGAGACACAAGCTACCAGCGACGTTGCATCCGATTTTTCAATCTTTTTGCGATCACCAGTGGCAGCAACACGTCGCAGCCCTGGAACAATCCGACAGACTACACTGGGCTTTGGTACAGAAGGTGAAGTCTGTTTTGCATTCTGATTTTGTTCTGTACAACGAAGATCATCATCCGAATCATGTTGTATGCTATTGTCCTCGCTTCTTCCTTCGAGGAGTCAGCAACACATGGAACGATCCCGCAGTGTTTTGCACTCTTGATGGTACGCCAGAAGAGTGGCGACAGCGCATTTTGAAGCGCGTTCCGGGAGATCTGTCCAGAAGATATGCCTGGGCTTTCACAGAAGCCGCTCCGTTGCCTCAGGGCACTGTGTTCCTGAAACGGAAAAAACAGTTTGCCAAGGGACGGACTATTATTTCGTATTCCAATTCTTTGTGCAGCAAACTGTTACAGCTGACTTCCATTGCGTTAACCTTAATGGTCAAGACGCTGTTTGCTGACAGCCCCGGCATGCAGAGCATGCCACAGCTATGGAAGTCTCTTCACGCTTACTGGGCGAAGCCCAGCCAGGAAGAAAACGTCGAATGGAACGACGATCTTGTGGGATTTTTCAACGCAGTTCCCCGAAAGGACATTATGCATTCAGTCCATCTGATTGTCCAGGAATATTGCCAAATTTCTGGCTGCTCGATCCTTTCGATCGACATGTTGTCCAAAACGGGACACCCGGGCAAACCACGGGGAAGAACCCAATCCAGTCTGAAAAGGTGTTGGGTTTCAGATATTCCAAGGATTGTGGATCTATCCTTCGCCACGGGAGTTTTTACTGCTGCTGGAAAGTGTCGCCAGCAAGTGGAGGGGACGTGTATAGGCAATCAAGTCTCTCCGATCCTTTCCGGGCTCCCTGTACTCATGGCTGAGCGGCATTTTTTGCAATCTTTGCCAGCAGCCATCCAATCTTCTTTCTTATTTCTTCGTTACGTTGATAACAGACTGATTCTGGGACCTCAACAAATTTTACAGTCGTCCCAACTCCGGAGATTTTGTGATCCCAACTTTTATGATGGGATTCAATTGGAAACTGTATCAGACCATCAATGGTTGGGCTTTACGATTTGTGCCAAGACTCGCTCAGCAACTTTTAATCTTCCGGAGCAACCGTGGCAGATCCGCTCACC